AATGAGGTACCATCTCACACCTGTCAGACTGGCTATCATCAACAAATCAACAAACGACAAGTGCTGGAGAGGATGTGGAGAAAAAGGAACACTTGTGCACTGCTGGTGGGAATGCAGACTGGTGCAGCCACTATGGAAGACAGTATGGAGTTTCCTCAAAAAACAAAACATGGAACTCCCATTTGACCCTGTGATCCCACTTCTAGGAATATATCCCAAGAAACCAGAAACACCAATCAGAAAGGATCTATGCACCCCTATGTTCATAGCAGCACAATTCACCATAGCTAAGATTTGGAAACAGCCTAAGTGCCCATCAGTAGATGAATGGATTAGAAAACTGTGGTACATCTACACGATGGAATACTATGCTGCTGTAAAAAAGAAGGAACTCTTACCATTTGCAACAGCATGGATGGAACTGGAGAGCATTATGCTAAGTGAAATAAGCCAGTCAATGAAGGAAAAATACCACATGATCTCACTCATTTATGGATAATAAAGACCATTATAAACTGATGAACAAAAATAGATACAGAGGCAGAGCAGCATCGAACAGACTGTCAAACTACAGCGGGAAGGCCGGGGAGGGTTGTGGGGGGAGGTAAGAGATTAACCAAAGGACTTGTATGCATGCATATAAGCATAACTAATGACATAGACTGTAGGGCATGTGCTGAGGGGTGGGAGTGGCCAGGGAGATGTCAATGGGGGAAAAGGGAGACATCTGTATTACTTTCAACAATAAAAATACATTTTACAAAAACAAAACAAAAAAATCATGGCTATGACAGTAAAGCCCTTACATTTCTGTGAAAGAGGAGGTAAGACTCTAGAGTGGAACAGCTTCCACGGTGATAAGATCCAAGGTGTAGGTCATGTAGAGTCAAGGTTATGGTTGGAGTGGACAAGGTGAAGCAACTGGGAAACCAAGTATTGAGCCCGGCCCGTGTGGCTCAGTGGTTGAGCATCCACCCATGAACCAGGAGGTCGTGGTTAGATTCCTGGTCAGGGCACATGCTGGGTTGTGGGATCAATCCCCAGTAAGGGGCGTGGAGGAGGCAGTCGATCAATGATTCTCTCTCGTTGATGTTTCTATCTCTCCCTTTCCCTTCCTCTCTGAAATCAATAAAAATATATTTTTTAAAAGAAATCGTGTATTGAAAAGTCATATGCAAGATGTGTACAAGAATGTTCATAGGAGATTGGTTTATAATAGCCAAAAATAAGAAACAATCCAATTGTACATAATGAAGTGAACAGATAAACCAACTAGTATAATCTAATACTACTCAGCAATGAAGGGGCAAGCTACTGATATGGCAACAACATAGATCAATGTCACAGACATTATGTAGAATGAAAGAAGCCAGGTACAAGAGTGCATAGCATAGGATTCCATTTACATGAGATTCAAAAATAAATTAAACTAATCTATAGGGGCAAAAATCAGTGGTTGCTTCTGGGAGTGGGGAAGGGTTGACCAAAAATGAACATGAGAAAAGTTCTGAGGTGATGGGAATAATCTACATCTCAGTTGCAGCATTGTTGACATATATTTGCCAGAGTTCATCAAACTGTATGCTTAATATCTGTGAATGTTACTGTATATAATGTATCTAAGTATTTAAAATGTCATCTATCCTGCCCTAGCCGGCTTGGCTCAGTGGACAGAGCATTGGCTTGTGGACTGAAAGTTCCTGGGTTTTGATTCTGGTCAAGGGCACATGCCCAGGTTGCGGGCTCGACCCCCAGTGTGGGGCGTGCAGGAGGCAGTCGATCAATGATTCTCTCTTATCATTGATGTTTCTGTCTCTCTCTCCCTCTCCCTTCCTCTCTGAAATAAATTATATATATAATTATATATATATATATGTATATATATAATAAAAGCATAATATGCTAATTAGACCAGACAGCCGAACTACCTTCCGTACATCCTTCTGGACGACCTGCCAGACGAAGCCAGGGCTGTGAGGGCCAAGGCAAGCCACCGAGGCTGCGAGGGCTGATCCCCTTGCACGAATTTCATGCATCGGGCCTCTAGTATTTATATAAATGTCATCTACCTGGCCATTAGGTCTTGATGACAGAGGTTGAAACAGAAAGGAAACTGGAGAGGCGGATGCCAGCTCTTGGTGAATGTGAGGGAAGTTGGACAATGACACAGAAAGAATGAAGGTGACAGGGTCCAATGCTATGAACCTCAAAGGAGACGTCGTGGTCAGAGGTTGAAAGTATAAACTGGGCCCTAACCGGTTTGGCTCAGTGGATAGAGCATCGGCCTGCAGACTGAAAGGTCTCAGGTTCGATTCCGGTCAAGGGCATGTACCTTGGTTGTGGGCACATCCCCAGTAGGAGGTGTGCAGGAGGCAGCTGATCGATGTTTCTCTCTCATCAATGTTTCTAACTCTCTATCCCTCTCCCTTCCTCTCTGTAAAAAATCAATAAAATAAATTTAAAAAAAAAGAAAGTATAAACTGGAACCATTAATTAGTTTGAAAACGTTTGTAAGGACTTGATCAGAGAAGTCGCCCACATCTCACCCCTGCCAACACTTAGAGGAGGGGACACCCGCTGAGGTGGGATCACCTGTGCAGGGTCCCAGGGTCCCTTCGGGGTGTCACCTCGTCACCTGCTCTGAGCTCTGTGTTGGGCATTTTCTGGTCCTGACCGCACTCTGGTCAGCACACAGCTGGGTGTTACAGAAGTTAGACAAGAGGAGTGTGCATCCCTTTACAGCTTTTCTTTTAAAAAATATTTTTTTTGATTTCAGAGAGGAAGGGAGAGGGAGAGAGAGATGCAAACATCAATGATGAGAGAATCATTGATTGGCTGCCTCCTGCATGCCCCCCCCCCCCCCCCCCCCCGGGATGAAGCCCACAACCCAGGCATGTGCCCTACAGGGAATTGAACTGGGACCTCAGGATCGAACCTTGTTCATAAGTCGATGCTCAGCCACTAACCACGCTGGCCAGGCAACTTTACAGCTTTTTCTGTTCATTGAGTCTGGAGTCCCTGGTGAACTGTTCTCTTGGAAGATTCCATCCTTGTGTCCACTGAGTTAATTTGCAGGGCAGTTCCCATCCCGCAGGGTGAAGTTCCCCAGGCGTCTCAGGGTTACTGAAAAAGGCCACACACGTCCCAGGGTTATTCTAGACGGATTACATCTAAGTGTTGTCTTTGGAATCTACAATAGTTTTGGATATTGAAAAGCATAGGTAGAGGAAAGAGGAAGAGAGCAAGACACCCTTCAGTTCAGGCCCAGCTGTAACATCGGTCAGCCTAGCCCGGGACTGGGAGGAGCTAGGGCGACGCTGTGCCCAGCACAGCAGGGTCTGGCAGTAACAGATGCGACTCCCGCTTTGCAGATGCGTCAGTGGTGGAACCAGGACTCCCATGAGGCTGCCTTCCAGGCCGCGTGGCCCTGGGCGGTGGAGCAGTGCGCTGTGCTGTGTGCACTCAGCAGGCGGCCCATCCACCCGCCCCAGGCCACTGAGTGGTGACCTCCCCGCCCTCTCCAAACCGGGGGCTTCTCACAGCTGAGGAGGAGACACCCTTTTCTCGACGCTGACTCTTGGGGTGGTGATAGGTGTCGATGGGACCAGGCAAGGTCAGGGCAGGGCGGAGCCCAGGTGGGAAAAGCCACCTCTGGGTGCCTCCGGCTGCCTCATGCTCCAGGACCAGCAGGGGGCAGACCTCGCACAGCCTGGCAGCTCCGTCCCACCGCGGGCGGGT